TCTTTATAAAAGATAAGAAATATAGAAAGAGTCACGTTGTTTCGAACATGTATCTCGTCGAGATGTGCGTGCGCGTGTACGTGACATATACGCGATAGATACCGATAGAAAATTCGCGGAAAGCAACGAGACTTCCGAGACGAATTTGTTTGGCGAAAGCTCCGATTCGTTCGAAGTGCAGTGAAGAACTGAGCGAAGTGCCGGCCGGTCGAGCAGCCAGGCGGGCTTTTCCAACCGGCTTAACCAATCGCAACTTCTCTCTTATCCCACGTGTCTCTTTTTCTCTATCCCTCTCTTCCTCTTCCTCCTTTCCGTCACCCTCTCTCACCACCAATCTTGCAGCAAAGATCGGCGAAGTTGTCGCCGGTGTTACAGCTACTTGCATCCCCCGGTGATGTGATCGTGCATCCCCCGTCGCGGGATGCGGCGCGATCACACGCTCCTTCCCTCCAAAAGACTCGTCAGAATCACACGTAAGTGGCAAATGTCACGGCTGAATGTTTCCTCGGGCAGATTTCAACGAACGATCTCCCTCGTCACTTTAATCGCCGCAAAAGCATCGCTTGAAGAACAGCGGTATTTCGCAACGAGTCGCGATTGTCTCGATTCTAGAAGACATATCGGAAGAGATATATCGGTCGTTGATCTCGGTCAAGGAGAAAATCAAGACTCGATTCTGATTTGAGTACGTGTTTTACAACGATGTAACGTTGAAACAGCGATATAGAGAAGGAGAAACGTGCAAAAATATTATCGAAGGAAAGCCGAGCATTTAACGCGTATCTATTCTCGCCAGAGTTCTTCGAAGACGTGCCACATTGACAAATACGCGCGTACGACTCGACGCAATGTAGCCTCGTTTGCCGTTAATGGGCAGGATATGTTTTCGAATCTAAAACTTAATCGGAGCCATGCTACTTGCACGATTTATGTTACATCCATTGACTAAATTAAAAACAATCCGCAGATTCACTTCTCACTCTTGTTTTCTTGCGTCCTCTCTCGACGGATCAAGAAGGGGAGGGATTGGCGAAACGCGACTTACAATCGGCAAATGGGAGATGAAACTTGATAAAAAAAAAAAGAGGAAAGGAAAATACGAAAGGAGAGGAGGAGAGAACAGAGAGCTCGAATCGGATCTATTTGGTTCGTACACCAAACTGAGTCGAACAAAACGTGATCGAGGCCTTACTTTCGAAGTTGTCTGCAGAGCATGTGTGTACGGTCGATCGGGCTGCATGTGCTTCGGTCGCTTTCCTAACGACGAGACATGCTTTTACCAACGATGACAGTTTTATATGCGCGTGACGTACCGTTTTTCATTGTCGCGTTACTGAACTCGGGTTTGTTAACGGCCAACATATCCCGTGCACGTATACGTAGAAATATAGTGATCATCGGCTTCCACAGTGAAGTACGAAATATTATCGAAATCACGGGTGTTCGCTTCTCTCGCGTAAAAAGGGTGGCGGAGAAAATAATTTATCTCTTTGGAAATAAAGTTCGTTTTCATTTGTGCCGCACGTTGTATGTTACGAAATCTAGAACGAAAGTTAAATTAAATTTTCGTTTCAAGATATTCAGCGCAATTAACATACTAAATATTCTTAAATAACTTTCTCCCGAATACTTGCTGATGAATACTATACGTTGAAAAAAATGTGTACCAACGTTCTATTTCCGTTTTTTTTAATAGAAAAGTCTGCCTGAATCTCTGATGTTAACAGAAGAAAATCTGCGCGAATCTCTAACGTTACTCTCTAAGGTTATCGTATTTATTCTCGTTCTAACAACACACGATTTACTTTACTATCTTATATTTACTTAATTCCTGACCTTTATTGCATTTCAGTTGCCTGAGAAGGAAGAACCGAGTCGCTAACAAAGTCGTTAGACATCAGACGTAATGTACGAGGGAACACGTTCGAGAACCGGAAGTATAAAGTATACCACGGCTTCGAGTCGATTTTACTTTCACAGAATCGTATTATGTATTCCGATACTGCGGCTCGTCGTTAAATCAATTACTTTCATAGAACTCAGCCCGCAATTAATTGATTCTACTACTATAAAAACTCTGATTTTATACGCGCAGCGTCGATATTTCCTTTTTATATACTTTCTTTGGTCTTGTATCAAAGGAAGAAAGTTACATTATAAGTACATTTACATATAACGAAAACAAATATGTATATGCAATAAATAGATAATATATTTTTAAACAAAATTACGCATTTTTTTTATAGCGAGATAGATAATGGCACAATGTCACACGATCGTCAATATGTAATATACGAGCGAAGTAAGTTTTCAATTTTGTGATGAAATTTTATCGAAATGTGATACGATAAATTCAAGATATACGATGAGTTTATAATATAATTAAAGATCAATATCACCTCAATGAGAAGAACGGGAACAGGGATTAAATTTCTTTCCGCGGAACGATGAACGAGTTCGTATAAATTCTTCTGCATGAAAGAACATGAAAAATGAAACATAACGTAAGAATTGTGCATCGTTTTTGTAAGCTAGGATTGCTAGCTTGTAAAGTGCTCGACCGTTCCTCCGATGGATTCTTTTACATGTTCATTGCACTTTCTCCGTTCATTTGTTTTCCAAAAACGTACGACCGCGCTTATCGACATACTTTCAAAGGAAATCATCCAAATCAACTTTGTGTGAAGCATTTCCATTCCAGATATATTTATCAAATTATAACAATAGATGATAGAAATTGCAACGTTTATTCCTACGTTCTGACGTGAATGGAAAGCTATATAAGAATTACAAGAATCAGTGAGACATATCTTCATATATGCATGATTTATTGATACATCGAAACGATATTGTTAAAAAAATATTCATAGAAACGCACCTGTGCATCTCTTGTACAACTTTCAAAATAAATTTTATTTGTAGTTCATTTATAGATAAAATAAAGTTACGTCATAATTGCGAGATATGATGTATTGTGAAAATATTTTACTTTCAGTTATGTTTTAACTTTACTGATATTCTCTTATACTAACTTTCGAAGCATCACTGAGTTTCGAAAAATATTATATAAACTAAAATGATTTATATTAACAGATGTATATTGTTATAGAGTTATGGCATAAAAATAGCGATTAAAGATAGAAATAGTAGAATTTATCTGGGAACAATGTTGTGCTTTTTCTCTCATTGTATATGGACAATAATTATCAAACGAAAGTAATAGCAGGTACATTAGAAAAATCTTGATTGTTCTCAGGCACAATGTAAAAGCTTATTAAATTTCTTTATAATCGAGTAGTAAAATGTTACTATACAAAACATAATAAAATAATAAGACTAATTAATAATAATAATAATAATAATAATAATTAATGATAAAACTAATTAAATAGTTCTTCTTCAATACAGACTATTTATAACAGAAACTAATAAATAACAATGCATACATTACATTGTAAAAAAAATAAATAAAGTACGAGTAATGTCAACTTATCAAATGCAAAAGTTTATCATAAATGATAAACAGATTCTATTTTATAATAAATAGATAAAATACTTCCGTTATGAACAGCCACAGATCTGTGCCAATTTTTAACCAGGGCATGTACATACAATAATCAATATTATAAACTAGATGCCTCTATAGTAGGAATATTAAATAGACCATCATCTTTCCAATAATAAGTAGGAGGGCCACTGGTAAAACAGTATTTCATAGATAGTGGTTCGTCATTTTCAACATAATACATCAAATAAAAGTTACACATTTCATCAGATTTCGTAGCACCAATATATGTCCAACTGTCGCGTGTACTATGCATAGTACAGCGAGCTGCTATTTGATCACCTTGACTAGCCGTAACTTTATTATGTACAGGATAAAACATTTGCGGTGTCAAAGGATCTCTTTTGCCTAATTCTATCCAAGTGTAATCTGGTTTTACCAAATATCCAGAAACTACTTTCCCAAGTGAATGAGTATGAGTCCTATACGCAATAGGATGAATAGTTTTGTTCTCTTTTATCGTGCAAGCTGTTTCCATGTATGTTGTACTCCGAGGTGGTATAACACCTGAAGTTCCCAGAAGAAGAACACCAGCTAATTTATTCAATGGACGTAATGTATAATAAAGAAATACACCAGAATCATCGGTTCTACCATCTTGAAATCTCGCAACATGCGCATAATGAACTTGAAGAACCAAATATTTAATCGGCGAGTCCCCACCAACTTTGAAACCTACTCCTTCTGGCAAAATTAATGTTGGAGCATCTCTGGCCCAAGCATATAATATCTATGTAAAATGATAGTATAATTAAACATTTATCAATATTTTCCTTGTAATCTTTAAATTATTCTTTTACATTACTTCATTGCACATACATACCTGGGAATTTTCTGCACAAGGAACTTCATTATCATTTATACCATGTACCATTTCACCACAGTCCCATACAGGTTTTGAGCTACCAGGCTTTCCACAACCATATAAAAGTATATGATGAGCACTTGCCATTGTTGCATTTGGTTCAAAACTGATCAAATAATAGTTTCGAGAAGGATCTACTTTAACAGGAGTACATAAATACAATTCCTCCTGCAAATGAAGAAAATATATTATCACTTTTTTACATTATTTCTTTAACATAAATTAAAAATTACATTAAAATATTAAAACAAAAAAGATGTCAATCAAAATGTTTTCAAACGCATATAAAATGTCAAAATATAAATTATGCGAAAATAATTTATCTCAGTATTTTTCAATATTTACTTACTCTATTTGGTCTAACATTTGGCATAAGTAACGCGTATTTGTTTACACTGTTACACCGTATAAATTTAAATAAAATGACAAATAAAACGTAAATCGTGATATTTTTCCTCATTTTTTTTTGTCAATATTTTTAAACTGTATTTGAAAAATTTATATTGACTCGTGAAATGTCACCAATCGATACACAGTTCACATACAGATAATCTCTGACGGAGAGTAAGCATTTGCAAACGCCATCTATTAAGGATACATTAATTTATTGCATATAAAATTTGTTCAATGGAAATACATATTTTACAAAACGACAATGTAATTAAATAATAAATATTGTGTAAAATATGGTGCAAGTATGAAATATTTATCGTTTATTATTGGACGGATTCATTGATGACTAGAGTCACGTGACCATATGATATTCATTCATCACTATTTGAATTTCATTCACGAAGTGACTGAAATCCGAAACGAAATACTTGAAGATCTAGATTTAAATGAGCCACCATGTAATCGGTTATTTTAACTTCGTCTGGTTAACTTTCATGAGCATTCTTGTATTCGGTATATTAAACTTATTTTTATCTTTTATTAATATATATGTCGCGAATTTGATCCGTAAGCCATTCTATGCCTAATTGTAAACCTTCTCCAGTAATCGCATTCGTTGCTCGTATATGCCAAGGTTTGTTCTGTATACGATCAAGACCGAGTCCAGCAACAAGTTTGACAGTAGTTAAGGAATCGGGCAAGTCCATTTTATTTGCCAAAAAAAGAATCGGTATTTTACGACCTACAATGTATAGTAAAGAAAGTTTAGTAGGAGAAATACAATCTAATATTCAATGAGAACAAATAAGGAAATGATATGTACCGGCTATATCTGGATGTTGAAGAAGCATATCTAATTCTTCTTTAACAACGACCAATCGTAGTTTGTCGCTACTATCAATAATAAAGATAATACCATGACAATCTTTGTAATAATGTTCCCATAGCGGTCTATGTCGATCATGCCCTGACATGTCAAATGCCGTGAAATTAACGTTTTTAACTGAAAAACATGTATTAAAATGTATCAGTATTTTATGATGTGATGATGAAACATAATATAAATAATAAGGTAAAATTTATTTACATGAAACGCAAATCATGTATGAAATTTAACAAGTACATGTATATATCTAAGAAATACATGTCTTTCATTTTATAAAGCGCCATCTGCTTCTTCACTATCATTATTCGAACAAATGAGAACCACTGAGTTGTAATGTAAATATGTATGACGAACGTATGTTAGCGCGGTAAAATTTTACTTTTTAGCGGTCAATAAATAAATTGCCGTGAAAAAGTATGGATGTATTTAATATGTTCAAAAATATGGATGTATCTAATATGTTAAAAAATGTTATTAATGACGAAAACAACTCTAAAAAGGAAAAGAGTAAACTACACATACGTTTACAAAGATCTAATCTTATGACATTTGTGATGAAGGTGTAATGTGATTATTCATTTTCAGGCTCTATAAAGAAGAAAGAAGAAAAAGACAGATTAAAGAAACAAATAAATCAGTTAAAATCTATAATTTTACAAATTGAATGGAGTTTGGGTATATCAAAATTTAAAAACAATAAATGTATTATTCAGCCGAGCAGTATTAGTAGTCTGAAAACTGATGATATTCAAGATATTAATTTACAGTTAGAATCTGAATTATATAGATATTCCGGCTTTTACTGTGTCAAGTTCACAAAGCAAGAATATATATTTAATTTTTCATCTTTAAATAAATATGATAAAGATAACATTTTTGCTATACAAATTATCAATGACCAAAACAAAGGAGTTTTGGGAAAATGGGTGATGCCAATGGCTATTGATTTAAAGGATATAATATCTGATTTTCCTATTCAAAAATTAAAAAATATACCATGTTTGTTGAAAATTTGTAAACAACACATAGACTCTTATTTTGTACGACATGAACAGTATACAGCATTGATGGTATATATGCCTTTTGAATTTATTGTTCTACTTAATATGTGAAAACAAAATATCAAGTATTTATTTTTATTTTTAGCGTAGTATTTCTAATATAAAAAATTGTAAGTTACAAACTAATTTAGGATATACACAAATCAATTTAGAACTGATAGGAGTATATAATAAAAGTACTGATTCATATATGGCCATAATTATATATCTCCTATATAAAATTAATGAAGCTAGACCACACAAAATTGAGGTAGATTCAGTAATAGAAGAAGAATTAGATAAAATGACCAAAAAACGTCTGCGATCATCCTTAGCCTGTTTTAAACAATTTGATTTGCATACAGCGTTTGAGAAGATGTTAAACAAAGGAGAATTTACGTGGACAAAAGACGATCATGAAGAAAGTCTATTAAATATTAACGTATGTAAAATTCTTAGTTACTTTAAGCAAATATCATTATATTCAATCAGTATATTCAACTAAAAACATTGTTTGTATTTTTAGCCTTCAAATAATTCAGATCAAGAGGGATTTTTAGATAGTTTCACATTACCACAAAAAAGATCTTTAAGACTTGAAAAGAAAAAACAACAAATGAGAAAAAGAAAAAAAATATCAGGAAATGAAAACTTCATTAACATTTCAAATGAATCTGATGAAAAAAATCCTATTTCTTCTGAAAATAAAGGGCAAGAATCAAAGAAAAAACGAAAAATAACAAAGAAAGAAAAATTTATTAATATCTCAAGTGAAGCTCATAAAAAATCTATTTCTTTCGAAAATAAAGAGCAAAAATTGAAAAAAAGATGGAAACTCTCAGGAGAAAAAAAATTTCTTGACAATTCAGATACAGACGAAACTGACAGAAATTCTATTTCTCCACAAAATAAAGAGTTGGAATTGAAAAATATTAAACAATCTGCAAGACAAAAAAATGTCAGTGTTACTAAGTCTACACCAACTAAAAGTAATCCAAAACAAAAGAAATTGAAACAGAAAAAATTCATTAACAATTCAGATGATACCGATAAAAATTCTGTTTCTCCACAAAATAAAGAGTTGGAATTGAAAAACATGAAACAATCTATGAGACAACAAAATGTCAGTGTTACTAAATCTACACCAAATAAAAGTAATCCAAAACAAAAGAAATTGAAACAAAAAAAATTCATTAACAATTCAGATGATACCGATAAAAATTCTGTTTCTCCACAAAATAAAGAGTTGGAATTGAAAAACATGAAACAATCTATGAGACAACAAAATGTCAGTATTACTAAATCTACACCAAATATACCTAATCCAAAACAAAAGAAATTAAAGCAAACAAAACTGAAATTTGAAACAAATCATTCAGAATTACAGAATAGTAATAATACTGTATCCTCTGATACGACTGTCTCTAAAAATGAACAGAGAAACAAACTAAATAAACCATTTACTAGTACTCCAATACGTCGAAGTAAATACCATCCACCCAATTTCAATGCATCGGTTAATATGGATATTAGTAATATTACAGTAAGCGACAATAATGTACAACCTACAAAATTATTGCGAAACAAAATGAGAGGAAGAATGAAATCTTTGACTGAAACGACATTAAGGAAATCAGAACGAATCAGCGTTAATAATAGAAGTAAAAAATTGAAGTATTCCATATAATGTAAAATATCCAACAGATTTCTTATTTTAAATTTTAATGTACCAAATGTTTTTTGCCATTTATGTACATATAGATATAATACAGACTGTTCAAGAGAAAATATTACTTGAAATATATGTTTCATTTTATTACATTAACAACAATTAGTGCTTGGACAGATCAGCAAGTGCAAGTAATGAAATAGAAATATGACTTTAAGCACGTCAATTCAACATCGAATGTCGTTCACTCGTTATTATTTAACTTACATGAAAATTTTTCAACATTATAGCCAACAGTGGGCACTATGTCTATGCAACGGTCATCCTCGCGTTTGAAATTATTTATGACCGTCGACTTACCACTATTGTTAAGGCCCACTACTAAAACGTTTACTTCTTTTTTCCTAAGACCTAAAAGATTCGCTAAACGATCAAATAGCCCCATTCTTTGTGTTCTCTTGAAGGTTTGTTACGTGTTTATCGAATATCAATAATCAACGCTATAACAATACAGTAACAAGAAGAAATATAGTGTGTTATTCATTTTACATCGCTTATTAATATAAACAGCATACTTTCTTAATAATCTTGATATTTTAAACCGCGAAATATATAAAAATTGTAATTTCCAATTTAGCGATTATTATGTAGTTTCACATCTTAAATGTATTACTAGTAATACTAGTTTTTTATGTGGTTGAGCACTACTGCAAGTCGCATATTTGAGACTTGTATGAAAGTATTATTAGAAAAACGACTATGGAATAATATTCATAAGCAATTTTAAGTAAACATTCTTTAATCTATTTTTAAGCTTTTGAAACCTGTTAAGTAAAAAATATTTCAAAAATGGTGAGTTAAAATATCAATGTACATATACACATATTTGGGTGTTAGGTTATGTGTACATATGCATTTCATCCTTTGTAATTTCTAGCCAAAGGGAAAAACCAAGAAATTCATTGACAAAAAAAATTCAGTAACATTTCATCTAGTTCATCGGTCACAAAGAGATCCGTTGATCGCCGATGAGACAGCACCAGAACGCGTGCTTGTGCCTGTTGAACACGCACAAGCCTTTAAAAAGAGGTTGGACGATAACAAGCGTAAAGAAGAGCAACGAAAATATGGCATATATTTTGACGATGATTATGATTACTTGAAACATCTTAGAGATATTAATTCACTGACAGCTGAATGGGAACGTGTAGATGCTTGTACAGGTTCAAAGTCAAATGACCAAACAAACGCACCTAAGATTAATTTACCATCTTCTGTATTTGCTTCAAATGTAGAGGAAAAAGTTGGTCTTTTAAACAAAGCAGCCCCAGTTTCGGGGTTGCAGTTAGATTTAGATCCAGATATAGTTGCTGCTATGGATGATGATTTTGACTATGACAATTCAGAAAATGAATTAGAGGATAATTTTATAGAATTAGCTAACGCATCCATTAGCAACAATGAAATGTTACCAGAAAAATATGGTATGTATCTAGGATCATATTATGCTTTTGAGATAATTGATATATATTTAAAGAATATCATTTAAATGAATCAGATCAGGCATCTGATGTTTCATCAGAATTTGAGTTATCAGATGAAGAACAAGACGAAGTACGCAGTTTAGGTGGATTATCTCAATATACCTTCAGAGAGGAAGAAACAAAATCCCGTTTTACAGAATATTCAATGAGTAGTAGTGTAATCAGAAGAAATGAGCAGCTTACTCTTCTTGATGATAAATTTGAAAAAGTAAGTATTTATCAACAAGATGTGATTCTACTTGACAAACATGTATTGTTATTTTTACAGATGTATGCAGCATATGATGAAGATGAAATAGGGGCATTAGATTGTGATGAAATTGAAGGATATATTGCACCTAACTCAGATTTAGTGCTTCAGTGTGCAACAGAATTTGAAAAACAGCAAAATGAAAATGTAAGTTAACAATAATTGCATTTGATATCAAGGCAATTAAACATATTCCTATTCCTTTTCCAGACTGATAATATTGCACAGTTAATGAAAGACAGAATGAAAATTTTAGATAAAGAGTATTCTAGTTCTGAGGATGAAGATAGTTTAGAAGAACTTGTAGTTGACTCAAAAGAAAAAGATAAATGGGATTGTGAAAGTATTATTAGTACATACAGCAATATTTACAATCATCCGAAATTAATTTCTGAACCCAAGGTATGTTCTTTAAGATTCATCAATCTATATGAAACTGCAATTGTGTACATTATAATTCTTTACATTACATTCTTTACACACAAAATTATTGTAGCATCCACAAAAGATCAAAGTCAATTCAAGGACAGGTATACCGAAAAATATTTTGGATGAATGTTCTGGAAAATTGACGATTAAAGCATTAGCTCAGTTTGAACAACAAAATGAAAATTGTAAGCCAAATTATCCTCAGTCTATTGCAGAAACTATGAAATCTACTTTAAGTACATTAAGTATAAGGCCTAAAAGTGAAACTAGTGAAGAAAGAAAACAAAGGAAAAAAGCACTTAAAGAATACAGAAAAGTAAAATTATCATGTTAATTTTGTATATATATAATAAGCTAAAATTATACAATACAAATAAAAAATTGTCCGTTGTTTTAGGAAAGACGGCTAGAACGAAAAGCAAATAGTGAAGCATTTAAAGAAGAAAAGAAACGCCAAGCAAAAATATTATTAAATAACAGGCAAAATATTCAAGGAAATAAAATACTTTAACATGTAAATTGTTACACTTTTTTTAATACATTAAATTTTATTAAACACTGCTATAATGTGATTGGTTTTTATTGATTAAATTTATTTAATCATTAATTACAAACAGAAATTTATACACGATATTTAGCTGTTATGTCAAAATAATAAAAATGATTGCGATAGCATTATTGGCGATTGATAATGGAAAAGTGTTGGTACTAAATAAATTATTTTAATGTTTTATTCAACAGTATAAATATGTCTTTAAATTCTGTAATAGTAAAAGTAACATCCGACTGTAATAGTAATAATACAATTAACATATTTTCATAATTTCAACTAAATCGGACCAAGGGGTTTTGAAAACAGCTTTTTTTATTTTTCACTTTTTTAATTATGTATATTATTGTACAACGTACAATAACAATAGTTTTGTTGCCTTTAAACGACATTTAAAACATAATTACTTTTTATTTTACAATATTTTTTAAAAATATTAAACCCCTTTGAACTATTCAATTTTGCATTTTGTTCAAATAATGATAATTGTACATGTACTTCCAATCAAGTTTCTACATAACCTCACTAACAGATCTTTACCATAAATGAGGTATAGTGTAGATTTGACATTTAATGTTTTTTCACATTCCATGTTTTGACGTAATACATATTGCTATATCCTTTGTGATCCATGAATGAAATTCTTTTTATCATTATTGATTGATTTTATCGGTTCTGATGATCAAGTTGAATATGATTTCTATGTTCATAATCAATTATAAAGGGTGCAAGAAACACTTTAAGACAGTACGATATGATATCATTTCCATTTAAAAATCGTGGAACTCAGAAAAAGTAATGAGTGTTAAATCTACTATTTCGTTTATCGATGATATAATTATAGATTGATGAAGTTTTACCACATTCAGTTAAATAAATAAATTTCGGTGTAAAATTGGCAATATTGATTTAATTCCAAATTTATTTTAATTCCTAGCACTAGTGAAACCTGCTTAAATCGGTACGGCAGGACGTGACATGAAAATGATAAAAACGTGTGACACAGAAATGCATTGAGTATCACGTCTTTTCTATAGCTTGTCTATGGCGAACAGAACGTCAGTGTACAACGCCATCGTTTAAGGCGGGGCAAACAACGGAAACTCCGAAGTCATATGATCGATCTGCGATTCCTTTAGGACACAGCCATCTCTGTTCGTTACAAGGATGGCCAGCCAAACGCAAGGTATTCAACAGCTTTTGGCAGCTGAAAAAAGAGCTGCGGAAAAAGTTGCGGAAGCTAGAAAACGTAAGTTACCATTTAAATATTGTAAGTATATTTTAACATGGACGTATTTTCAGTATCACCTATATTTTTAGTAATCACTTGTGTCGTGACCCTGAATGGGTGTAACTTTCTAAATGTGTTGAAAACTTCTGTTAAAATAACTATTAACTTTTACATTGTCAATAATTTTGGGTGTAAATAGTATGAATTTGATAAATACGTGTAACATTGATCAATACTCTAACCTTTGTTGATGTAGGTAATTTGCAGATATATCTTGCAAAGTGGTTTTCTTTTCATCGGATGTAAAAGATTAACGAATCATGATGTAAAAGGTTAACAAATTGATTCGAGTTATAATGTAATTTTGCTTGCAGGTAAGGCACGCAGATTGAAACAAGCAAAGGAAGAGGCACAGGATGAAATTGAGAAATATAGGCAAGAACGAGAAAGACAGTTCCGTGAATTTGAAACAAAGGTGAATAATTTTAAATGCTGAATTAAGTACTGAACATTTTTTTGACAGCTTAATTGAATATATTACAAAATAATACATTATGCATATCTTTTATTATCCTGGTGTATAGCACATGGGATCGAAAGAGGATGTAGCAGCACGTATAGAAGCTGATACAAAATTAAAAACAGAAGAAATGAGTCAGACCATCTCTATGCATAAAGACTCTGTAAGTTGATATGAAACTAATAGAAAGTAATATCTTTCATCTTAAACATCTTTAGTATTTGTGCCTTTTTTTTATTATATAGGTTGTGCGTACAATTTTGGACTTGGTGTACGACATTAAACCAGAATTACACAAGAACTATCGCATCGAAATTTAAATTAGAAGAATCGTATCGATCGATTATAAATATTGCATCTTATATTATAAATGTACATTAGGTACTTTCCTTTATCATATCTTAATAAGTATCGATTGTTGTTACATTGTACTCTTATTGGAGAATGTATATACCTTTTAATCGTAGATGGTGATATATACTGAAATTATTAGAATTTTCTCTGCAGTTGCTATGACAATAAATGTAATTGTATTTATGCTGAGCTTTTACCACCATATTGAAGAGTTGAAGAATTGTAATAATGTCATAGTAGCACTATCAACATACTAAACAAGTTATCGTCATTGTGATATATCAAGGCCTAGATATATTAGGATGACGTGTAAATGTTAAAGCTTAAGGTGATGGAGAAAAAGTTACGTGTCGTTAAACATATATCGTTAGATGTCATTCCATAATTCTGTTACATCGAGGACGCAAGACGCACGTTAAAGGATGTACAACTTCCAAAGAATCACGAATAAGCTCCTAATCCGCTGGTTCTCGCGACGATGTACATAAATGCGTATTATTTGATTTGTTTGGAACATTTCAGTTTGTTAAGTTATAAAGGGGAATGAAGTTACATTTGGTGTATAAACCCTGTCTCTGTATGCTGGTTCATCTGTACAGTATTAATGTTTGAAAATAAAAACAGTGAACGTGTAATCCTGTACTGAAGTTCCTTTGTCGTCCACCGAACGGTGATGCAGTAATTTCTAATTCTATCAAGGGCTATCATCGAAATTTGCATTGGATAAGCATCGGAAGGATTTAGATATAAATGATAATAACAAAAAGTAAGGAAAAGAATAAGAAAGTGTCCGATTAAGGCGCATTGCAAGTTCAAAAATTTGCGCCAAAATCCAAGTTTTCGAGCTCGTCGAACTTGTAATCGCGCAGACGCGGTTTGTATGAGAAACGAAGCCATAATTCAACAGAAGCAAAAACAAAAAGAAAAGAAAATAAACGCCCGTTACGTTCGTCGAAATTGGGATACTTAAATAAGCGAGGAAAGAAAGAAAAAAAGAAGATATAGCGGGCAGAGGCGAGTAAGGTGGGGGGAAGATCAGCTATATAAACCTAACCTTTCCTCTCCGTGACGGGAGATGGTGGTCTCGGCCAGCAGTTGGTTGAGTGCGCGTATTGCGTGTGGGTAATGTGCGTTGACAACACTAGCGCCAGTCCATAGACACCGAGAGGTGATTCGATTTTGTGAACTAATGCTGGCAGCGCGAAGCGGTCAGTACGTGTGCCATTCTGCACCGAGAAATGGAAGTCAACGAGACGTGTCCGAATAATACGAGCGCGAGCACGTTACCGACGTACGAAGTGCGCGAGGATGCGGTGACAGCTGTGCACGGGTACGCGTTTTAAGTCTGTTATGATCAAGAACACGGCAAGCGAGGCCGGTCGCCGACCAGCTGCGTGCCCGAGCAAGAGATCGTCGTAATCATCGTCATCGTCATCGTCGTTGTCGTCGCGCGTACCGAAAATCGTGTTGACCGTTGATCGCTAATTTTCCTTTGTTTGTCTAGTTACGTCTAGTCTATAGAAATCGCGCGTTGCGAGTTCCCACCGGGAAGAAACGAGGTGCCTGTACGAACCTCTTTGGATACAACCTGGTAATAAGATGTGGTGTCTCGTTAGTCAAGCGAATTCCGTCATCCTCGAGGTGCAGGTCGATCCAAAAGCTATTGGTCAGGAGTGTCTGGAAAAGGTGAGTCACTCCACTGTTATTGCACCTTTTATTTGTTTATTATCCCGTTCTCTCGACCCGTGTCGAGCAGTCTGTTTTCGAGTCGCTTTATTCCAACATTCAATCCAACTTTCGCGACATCGATCTACTCCTCGTTCGCGATCCTCTCCGACGAAACGATTTGAAAGAATTCGGCGAAGTTTGCTGAAACTGAAGAAAGTGGCGATACGAACGCAGCTCGATAAAGATGACGTACGTTGAAGTCCGTCTATGTAGATGTTTGCTCCGATCGCTGAACGTTGTACGGTGTAGAACACGACAGAGGCAAACAAACAAGTTCAAATATTTAGCATATTGCTAACGGTGTCATCAGTCGTCGTTGCAAACAATGCCAACGCACGTCGAATGTGCGTGCAGCGTTCATCAGTTTCTTAGTAGAGAGTGTGTTAAATTTTGGCTCGAAATTGGTAATTCCGTGATCCAGTCTGATCCGATCACTTCAAACGGAGAGAATTGTGGTTAGAAACTCGATGAGAAATAAACGTGCACGCGCGCGCATAATATACGCAGAAGTATAAATACATCTGAGAAACGTCGCGAATCGTGGAAACATGAAACGTGTACTCGGTTTGAGGAAAAGACGGTGCGGATCGTAACTCACGTGCGCAACAGATGCCTCGGAAACATTCGGCCACTACATATAGCGGAGACCATGACAATGAATGATTGTCGATCATTTCAACTGACATAACTTTGTAGGAAAAAGATTGTACAATTATCTACGTAGTGAAAGCGTGAATTCCTAAAGCGTGAATCTTAAACCGTGGAGAGTTCTTTACTCGAAGACCAAACGCGCGTGAAGACATTTTGAAGAAAATTTTTCTCGCTAATAAATCTGCCACAGAGTTTCAATCTTGAAGAATGAAATTTTCTCTTGAAACTCACTGTACGTTTTTTTTTTTTTTTTTTAATTATTTTATTGATTATGACTTGGGAATGTTTTTGAATCTTGGTTTGTTCAATTAATGCTTAATATTCAAAGTTCAGTGAAATGGTGATGGTTCTACTTCTACGTTATTATCTACGTGAATTATATACGAATCTGCTCCGATTTGTTATCTTCCTTCATCACTGTGGAAGCTTCACAATGTCATCTTTTCAAAACTTCTGAGATTTGCTATTTGTTCGACTGTATTCTCTCAGATGCATTCTGAAAATTGTCGAGCCAAAATTTTTTTACTGCGAGTTTTCATTTTTTAAACGGATGGTTTAATCCCCCCCCTCCCCGTCCGATTATTAGCTATTCCTTGTATTAAAAAATTCCTTCTGCGGGAAAAAACGCGTCTCCGACAATCTTAGAAATTTTAGAAATGGTATTATCAAACTTCCGGAGAAGCAGAGAAATATATATATATATATATTTTTCTGCTAAAAAAAGAAGTAGGTGGGAAGAAACTTTTGATCCACCCTGTATTATACATATATATAATATATAATATATAATATATATATTATGTATTATATATATAATATATATAATATT